TTTCTACTATGAGATCCTCAACTCTCCTGACCAGGCATGCCACCTTGCCAAGCAGGCCTTTGATGATGCCATTGCCGGTATGTTCAATCTATGCTATAATTATGTTAAGCTATTTTCTTAGTCACGAGCCGCATGATGCTAACCTTGTGACCCAACAGAACTCGACACTCTGAGCGAGGAGAGCTACAAGGACTCTACCCTCATTATGCAGCTTCTCAGGGACAACTTGGTAGGCCAGACTGCCCCTATTTACACACATTCTATCACGAAACTAACATCTATCGTCACAGACCCTGTGGACTTCCTCTGAAGCCGACCCAGCCACCGAGGCCCAGCAACCCCAGGGTGCCCAGGCCCCAGCTGAGGCCAAGGAGGAGGCTCCAGCTGCCACCGAAGAAGCCCCCAAGGAGTAAATGGGTTATGGATGAGCATTTAGTTCTAGATCGGAGGAGTTCATGATGCCATTTCCATTTTCACGCCTATTCCCCCCCCCCTTTTACTCTATCAAAACAATCCTACCGCACTCCAACCCCTGGTTTTTTTTTAATCGATAATGTCACTTAGGTTTCTTTGCAACATTCCCTTCTTCCAAGCTCTGCCTGCCATTATGTATCCTGGAGGGGTGAGACTTTAGTGACGTACTCCACCCGTCTCTCTTCATCTTACTTTCCCTGTCTATCTCCCTTCCCCATAGACCTACCTTTCATTTTAAAACCCTTGCCACTGCTCAAGGGACTGACTGACTGGAGAGATGATAGCCTGCCGAACAGCTGGAGAAAGGGAAGTGACAATGCTCCCAAAAAAACGACAGGAAACAAAAAGGCCTACAAAAAAACATGGAAACAAAAAAAAAAAAATCACCAGAGGGAGAAAAAAAAGTACCATTATTACCTCTTTACCTTCTTCTACCTTTCTCCCTTTTGCTTACGTTCTTCCTTTTCTTTTTCCCGGATTTCCACCCTCGGAGATACTCACTATCCCCTGTCTCCCTTTCGAACGTGTTTTCTTTCATCCACCCAAAATAGGTTTGATAGTATTAGATTTTTGCGCGGACGTACACACACACTACTGACTGATCTAACGCGGCAGTTTCATATTTTTACCTTCTAGCTTTGTCTTGCGACTTCGTTATTGCTTAGTTGAGGATGGTAGGTATACTTGTAGTGAATACGCGCAACAATGGACGATCTTTTAAATTATTAATTTTTTTTTATTTTGATAGTTAGTTATTGTACAACCACCACCACATTTAAATAGTCCCGGTCCATATATGCCCGGTTACTCCGTACCCCTAGCCATGAACTATCTGGCCCTCTGCGGAGTTGTTACGCCTCTTTATTAGAATACATCACCCCAACAGCGCCGATGGTTCCTTCACGGGCTAATCCCCATCCCAACCATCAACAGAGACCCCGTTTAGCTACTTGACTATGTATTCCGTCACCTAGTTAGTAAAAGGGGCTGGCAGTATCAACCAGTTAACCACAGCCAGATCTTCACCACTATCCATCTATCCACAGCTAAACGCGGCTATAGCGCCTGTCAACGCCCTTGTCACCCCCTTAACGGGCTGACCCCAGTTACGCTTCGTCACTCACCCATCAGAGAGAGAGCCCAGGAGGGCGAGAAGCAAGCGATGGAGCAACCACCCATCTTGACCTGGATAGGCCCAGGTTCCTCACTTTCGAGTACATGTCAGATACTGAAAGGGCGTCAGTAAAGTATTGTAATGGGCATCCCGGATGATCGCACATCACATCACACCCTGTATGGCTGAGATGCTGCTTGCTGCCTGTGGAGAATAAGATATGGGTTGGCTTAACTCCGGAGTACTTATCCAATTCGCCCATGCAGTATGCATCCATCCGCCGGGGCGTTTGGCCCTAGCAAAGGGGCACGAGAACACGATAGGGAGCTTTGTGTGGATGTTCGCCTTTCGCCTAGTTAACGCTGGCCCCCGAGATATAGATCGCGCGAAACGAGGGTGGAAGGAGAAACAAAGCAAACGGCAGACCGCATACATCCATTCTGCAGGCGTAACAAAGGATACAAGCGTAACGGCGACAGGGTGTATGATGTCTCACAAACAGGTTGGATCAGTCGTAGCAAGCAGGTTTCTCTCTGCCGAGTACGGGATGTTTCGTCGAGAGCGCGTACACGTACTTACATGCCTTGAAACCACAGCTCAATTGAATATTCGTCTGTCTTGTGTTGCCTTGCCTTGATTTTATGTGCAGGCTGCATGAGTACCAGATCCGGCCGCTGGATGCATTCCGCCATCTTCCAGCCCACCCAAGGCCCATCACATCCCCGTATATGCACGGTGTATGAATCTTGTTGTGTGTGTGTGTGTGTGTGTGTGAATTATCCAGGATGGGGGCGGCATTGGGTTATTGTTTATCCAAATTAACCGGATAAGCAAGGAAGTATGCTTTTATTTACTGTTTAGATACAGGAAACCCAGCAAGGAGCAAGTCTAGAGCTTGGGAGTAGCAGACAGAACCAGGTCCATGGATGTACAAATGGCAGTGAATCAAGAGGGTCCTTGGGGTGTGATGTCGTTAAAAATTCCCAAGAAGATATGTAGAACAATATATAATGTTAGCGGTGGAAGCGATTTTACTTGAATCCCTGAACCAGACAGGTATAGAAAAGCCATTATATACATGATAGAAGCAAGGTCGAGCCATATTGATACGCGAGAAAATGTTTGTATCATGTTTGTGTCCACGAAATGAGAAGAAAAAAGTAATGAATAAACCCAAGCGATTCGATGAAATAACTTTTTTTTTTCGTTATCATTCATTAGGATGGAAGAAGAAAGACTCCAATTCGACCTAATTCCGGTTGAAGAGTGATAAGAAAGGGTAAAAAAAGAAGAAACGTAAGAGGTGGAAATGTGTCATCTGTTCCTACCAGAGGGACATGCATGTTTGAGAGGCCAGCTATGGAACAACGACAGAGGCGAGCGACCGCCGAAGTCCATGAGCGGCTGCTTACATGCATCCACTCGAACCAAACGCATCGACGTGTTTGAGAACGGTGTCTGTTGTGAGGCCGGGGAGGAAGGGAAGAAGGTAGGTAGCTACCCGATGACATCACATGTATACCCGGACACGCGCAGGCGCAGACGCAGACGCAAACTCATGCATGCACGCCGAGCAAGTAATTAAGTGTATCCCCAGAAGAAATTAGGAGGGGGGGGGGGAGCAAAGCATTAACAGAGGAGCTCCAAGCCAAGTATGGTTAAAAGGGGAAAGAAAGGAAAGAAGCCAGGAAAAAGGGACGATGACGGATGCACAAAGCCGTTGGATCTAACCCAGGACGAAAAAGTGAGTGAGTGACCGAGTGGTCCGGTCAAGCCTGGTCAAGCAAGTCAAAACGTCAGCCCATCGGCCCAGGGATGCTGCATGCATGCATGCATGCGATGTGTGGTGTGGTGTGGAAAGGTTGGAACGGTTGTGTGGCGCACAGCTGGCCCATCATCGAGTCAAGGAGAGCCGTTTGTTTGATCTGCGGCCAAACAGACATCGTGACGTCGTGATCCATGATCCGTGATACGCCGGCTACCAGCGATGGTTTTCGTGTTCTTTCTTTTTTTGTTTTTTTCCTTTTTTGTTTTGGTCCTCTTGCTTGTGTGTCTTTCTGTCTGCCTGTCTGCTTGCGATGGCCTCCCCCGTTTGCTTCGTGTTTCGTTGGGCATCATCCAATCCACCGACCCGGCTAACCAGGAGCCAAGCGGCGCTGGCAAGGAGTCAGGTGCGCCATTTCCCCTATATTCCATGTACCCGGCCACCCGGTCAAAATCCGGGGTATCGTCATTTTTATGTTTTGAGTTTTTGCTTATTGTGTCAGTTTGAATGAACCATGGAGACGGCCAAAGTATCGTCGGCATGGGGTCTTCGCCTGAAGGATGCCATGCGCAGGGCAAGGGGCAACAAGATGGCGATGGCTGAAGGAAAGCCAGGAGACGGCTGGGGCGGCTCAAGCCGGGTCACATGGTCTGACGCTTAACCAAAAACCGTCTTTAGCCCGATGGAAAGCAACAGAGCGCCAGGGACAGGAGAAGCAGCAGCAGCAGCAGCGAGGCAGTAAACCCGAAGGAGAAGATTAAAGAAGTAGAATTAGGTCGTAAGAGCAACGGGGTCTAAAAGAAGTAGAAGAACTGTAACAGAGAGAAGCGACAAGAACAACGGAGGGTATCTTATATCGCGGCCGATTCATTTGTCCAGTGGAAATAGAAAACAAAAATCAACACCAAATCGATACTCGAACCATGGCCAGAAGTACAATGCAAGCACCAGGAAACCCCAAGGACCAAGAGAGAAAAGGAGAAGAAGACAAAAAGGGCCCAGGTCAAGCGCAGTTTGGCTGGCCTCGTTGTTGAAGATAATAATTAACAGGAAAAAAAGGGTAAAAAGGGTAAAAAGGAGTAGCTTCTAGTACCCTGTTCTGTTGTCGGGAGAGACGTTGCATAAAAGTTATATACCATCACATAGCATAGCATCGCAAGACAAGCAAGATGTAAGGAACGGAGAGGTCAACGTCATGTTGATTTCACGAGGACCTGTTTGGCGGAGGATTGGTAAAGTATGAGGGTCGGCTTATGCTAATGGTTGCTGGTTTGTTGTAAAAAAAAAAAAAAAAAAAGTGTCATAAAGCGTAACCGGGTCATGAAATTAAGTAATGGGACAAGGTTGGTCAGTGACGGAGCGATAAGGTGGCGCAGGGATAAGCCAGACTATTCTATCCGGTGTATCAAACTCGTCCCTTGTTCGGCATGTGCCATGTGTGGTCGGGGGTCGGAATGTATGAAGTGTAGGAAAGGCGTGGTTAGAGCGGTGTGTGAGAGGTGGCTGGGGGTGGTGGAAGTAAAATAAAGTGTTTTGTCCAGTTCGGATCAGGCTAGAGTAAGGACGGCCTCCATGGTATCTTCCAAGATGCGAACGTACAAGCGCCGGGCGGTGACCAGAAGCCAGCGAGAGCAAGGAAGAGCCTGGTTACTTCTGAGACTTCTTTCCCTTGCCTGCACCGCTGGTTGAGGTAAGCTCGGACTTGGTAGACATGGTCCTGGTTAAGCCACCGATGTAGTCCTGCAGGAAGCGGTTCTCGTTCTCCAGCTTATCATGGTCTGATTTGACCTCGTCAATCCGGTCTGCCAGGGCCTGTAAAGATGACTGCAACGTCTTTGCTTGTCTGTTTCATCATTAGTTAGAAGGGGAGCGGCCAATTAATTGTGGGGGAGAAAGCCTGAGAGCACTCACTCTTTAAGTGTAAGTCTTGCCTGAGTGCCCAGCCTCTTGACGTCTGCAAAGTTCCTTCGCGGGCTCATCGCACGAGCGTCGTCTGGCGGAAACTCTTCCTTCTCAATCTCGATCTCAGGGTGGTCCCGGGGGACGAGTATCGAGGCGCTAGGTTTCCTGCTGGCAATGCGGGGGCGGTCTGCCCTCGATTTCCGCTCTGACTCTACATCGGAGACAGAGGAAGAGGAGGAAGTTGGAGACGGGTGTGAATTCTCGTTGTCATGGTTTGCTGTGGGATGGGTTCCGTTGGTAGTGCCGTTGGAATTGCTATCGTTTGGGGCAGGGGAGGGCATTGTGCGGACGGGCTCTGAGGAGTTGTATAGGCCAGTGTCGGCAGCCATAATGCGATATCTGGACCGACCTTCGCAGGTATATTGTGTATGAAGTGGGTATAACGAGGAACAGCCCCGTTGAAGGATAGTTTTTTTTCGGGGGTTCGTCGTCGTTGTCGTCTGCGTTATCAGGAGCGGGACAGAAAGGGGCTGATGGATTGATAAAGGAGAGATGCGGTGACGGTGAGAGGTCCGAGTAAAAGAGCAAAGAACAGTACGGATTCTCCCAGGAACAGCTCGGGGGTGTATCTACAGGAAGCGAACGTAGTCTGTCTGTCCGGTGCTGGAGCTGAAGGGGTGTGGCTTCTCTTGCTCTCTACCTGCAGAGAGCGCGGAGATAGATAGATAGGTCGACAGCACGGCGCGGGACGCAAGCAACGCAGCAGACAAGAAGAAACGAGCCAGCCGCTGGAACGAGAGTCGACAGAGAAGTGGAATTGGCAGAGGCTTGGGGGCAAAACTGCAGTCGAAGGCAAGCTGAAGTCGATGCTGGCAGAGCTGTGGGAGTTGATGAAGGACGCAGGACGCAGGACAAACAGCAGCAGCAGCAGCAGCAGCAGCAGCAGCAGCAGCAGCAGCAGCAGCAGCAGCAGCAGCAAAGCCGGACGAGGACGAGAAGAAGTAGCAGAAGGTTCAAGCGGCCGAGGGAGAAAGCCGCAGTTTTGGCTTTGGCGGCGGCAGCCAATAAGGGCGGGGCGCCGGTGGGTCCCTGTGTACGGTCTCGTAACGAAAGATACAAGCGGTAACTTACAGCGTACGGTTGATACAACGAAAAGACGAGGAGAGGAAAGACGGACGGACGACGACGACGACGACGACGACGACGATGACGATGATGGCGGACGACAGACGAGGGACACGGACGAAGAGGAGGGAAGAGGCGGATATATACTCGGTAGGCAGCCGGAAGACAGTGGCGGAGAAGACGATGATGGTTGGACGAGCCGGCAGGCTCGATAAAAGGGGGACACACGACGCCGTGATAGAACGGGGAAGGCGGATGGGATGGGATGGGATGGGAGATGCAGACAGACAGACAGGCGGAAGAGGGAGGGAGAGCGCTGAGGGAGGAGGACAGCAAGACGAGGTCGAGTCAAAGGCAGGGCAAGGCAAGGAGGAAAGGCGCAGACCCGGCCACCGTCCGGTCAAATCGTCCATACAATTGGGCCGTCGTCATCGATCGAATATAATGAATGGCTGCCACTTCTGCTAGGCAACACAAGCTAACTACATAACTACACGTCACAGAATGTCCCAATGCAGGCTGGTCCCAGCGAGATGGATCATGGATCATGCATGGTGGATGGCGGACAAGGCAAGCAAGCGCCTTCATCGTGTCTTGCTAATCGCTCGAAGTGGGCGCCGTCCGCCGTTGAGCAGCCTGCGAGGCTAACTTGGTAGCTCGTGTACGGGCAGGGGGCCCAGGTTAAGTTACATGAACATCGAACGGACAGCACGTTAAGGATCAAAGAAGCCCAGGACACAACATACTGAACATCCCTATATACGAATGGCATGTATCTACGGAGCATGTCAGTCCTTACATCGGTATCAGTAAGTACATGCGGGATATATGAAACTGGACATTCCCTGCTCTTAACCCAGATACATACTTTCGGGATGCACGGAGACTTTTCTCAGCATACGCCTTCTTACAGACGGGACGGCTATTCCTTTGCAACGGTCGGCTGGCGGCATTATTATTCATTATTGTTATCATCGAGCCTGTCGGGGGTGTTGGGACGACCATCGATATATGCATACTACTACTCCGTAAAGTGCGGGAAGTGAAGTCCTGCTGTGCTCCCCATAACTATCAAACTATCCATCCCTAACCTGAAAACTAACACATCTGGCAGTTATACATGCTCATCGTCCATCCCACGGTCGACCATCATCACACCATGCTGACCCCCTGTTGATCTACAAGCTCTCCACCACTCGGAGACAGGCGAATCCACCAGAGCAACAACTTGCAGCCCATTCTTCTTGTGGCCTGGCAACCCGACTCATATAATTATTATTATTCAGCAGTGTTTGGTCGTTGCTAATCACCTCTGCTTCTCTCGTCTCTTTCCTTCTGGCAGCCATGCCGCAAGCGGTTTTATCCGATGTGCCAAGTCTGCCCTTAACTTACGCTGGCATGATTATTTTAGTTAAGAGAGTATGCTCCGTATGAGAATCGTCTTCTCTGGGTTACGAACGATATAACTTACATACCGCTCCCATACTAACGCACACCAGCAGGTCGGAGTTATTCTTACAACTAGTTTAAGGTTGCTTGTAGAGTTGGTATGTCTTCATTCCCTGGGCCTGCTGGCCTGTTGGCTTGCTGATGCTGCTGCTGCTGCTGCTGCAGGATATCCCTTCTTCTGGAAACTTTCTACGCCTTGTTCCCTTGGGCTTGTGGCCAAAACATCTGCAGGCAGCCACATCCTTCCTCTTCTCTCCTTTTTTTTTTCTTACTTTACAACCACAGTTATAGTTTAAAGCATATAATGGGGCATGGAGGAGGGGAGGGGATGGAGGGGAGGGATTTGACAAGAGAGACCCGCTCAAGCAGGGTGGGGGATCCTTGCCCGATAGTCATTAGCCGGCAATAGCATAGGAGGGTATTTTTACACTTGCCCTGTGTCGATTCCCCTTCATCCATATCCCTTCCCGTCATCCTTCAATAATGCTGATTCAAGGACACGGTCTAAATTAACTACTGAAAAGTCGCCAATTACCAGGTATTCAAAACCGTGTTTCCTTTTTCCACCTTTACTATCCCTCAGCAATCTCCTGATTCCTTCCAACATGGTTCTGGAAAAGGATCAGGAATGATATTAGGCGATCTTCGTACTCCGTATGTAGAGATCTAACAAGCAACAATATACCGTCAGTGGGCATCTGTTGTTCCCACCCCTTTCCCCCCTTTTTTTGCTTTCGGTTGCTGTGTGAAAATCCTTCAAGATTTAATTTATCTTTTTTTTTTTTTTCTCTGTGGTTGCCCTTCGTCCAAGAGTTTCTTTTCTCCCACTGCTGAGACGGTGACAACTAGAGGTAAGGGTCAACCTTATATTCAAGCAATTAGCTTTCCCTGTCGCCTGACAGTACGCCATCGTTTGTCGGTAAAGCATGTATGCATGGAGTATGGAGTACTGTCTTGAGAGATAAAAAAAAGTCCTCTTGTGTATTCTTTTTTCGAAAAAAAACCAGCAGTGACTCTTTGGTTAAAAGATGCAAAGGTTGGTCCTTTGTTAGTGCCTAGTGTGGGTAGAATTAATCGAGCCTTTGTATCTCCAAGATTAGCACAGCTTTATTAACACGGATTGGCCGCAAGGCTCAACATCGCAAGCTGATGGAGTTTCCATTCGCATCTGGGTTAATCTCGATCAAGCTGTTGAGAAGGATAGCCCTGGCAAGCAAGTATGCTTGAGGCGTTGATGGCGTGGGGTGCAACTCCAGATATCATGGTGGCCTGTGATAATTTATTTGTATGCTATCCCGCCGATCGATGATGATGCATGTTGATCAATGCTCGCCATGAATCGTGGAGTACTTACATATCAAGGCATTAATTCTTTAATTCTTGCTCCCCACACGACTTTTTTTTTTTACGAAGTCGAAAAACTCTTCATGATGGACGAAGAAATTTTCTTCTCGTACTCCGTACTCCGTACTCCATACCTCTCCTTGCGCTTTGGTTCACTGCAAGGTGTAAGAACTCCATTTTCACTAGCGGCAAACTCACTAGTGGGCGGGTGATGACGATGGACATGATGTCCACCTCTCGGCGCTGGTTGTCGGCTGGGTGCGAACAGACATCAAGAGCGGCGAATATGTTACGGGTTAACTGCATCCACCCTCCTTTACTATGTAATTACTATTAGTGCATGGTAAAGTAATTTCACGGTCTTTTGGAAACCGTTTATAAGCACTTTTCACTGAAGATCGCCAGCATCTGATGCAAGTCGGTTTCGCTGGGCAGAGGATAAGCGCCAACCCATAATAGTAGTTGGATCGCTTTTCGCCTCAAAAGTCGTCAACAAACATAACTTACTCCGTACCTTTTGACTGAAAAGTAAGAAGGCCTGTGAAGGTGGAAAAGTACTCCGTACATGCTGCTGGATACCAACCCCCCATTTCTCCGCTCCCATGCAGGATGTCCTCCCAGAGGAGTGGAGGAGGGTTCGCCCAATCCTGACGATGGCCCTGCCAAGCGGCCGCCCGTCAGGTAGGTAAAGTAGGTTGGTTGGTACTCCGTAGCACACTATGCGTAAAAGTCGAAAGTCAAGTAGAGGAGACGGTGGTAAGTGTGAGGACAGATCAACAATCCACGGGTCTCCCGAGAGCATGCCTGCCTATAAGGCAGGTCGACGAGAGAAAATGGATGACAGTTGTTGGTTTTCTTCCCATCTCCCGATCTCTGTGGTCCCAGTGCCGTCATACGGCGATATATACGTCATAAAAAAACTGGAGCACTTCCTGGCGATCGTTCGCCCGGCGTGTTCAGGTTGCTGATACAGGCTCAAAGCAGGTTCCCTGGGGGGATTGCCTGCGTCTCCCGTGTACCAGCTACAGGCGTCCACCAGCTGAGGTACGTGGTGTCAAGAGTATGGTGTACCTCGATGGGGAGCAAGGAGGAGGAAAAGTCAAGGGGAGAGCGTGACTCTGCCTCCACCAGGATAAAACCGCCTGGCAGCCCACGATGCTGCGGCGAGCCTCGTGAGACGAGCCGGCCAAGTAGCGGTAAGCTGCCAGGCTCTCTCGCTCGTTTCTGGCGGGCGTCTTGCTGCCCCCTCGCCGGCCTGGAGTCGTCCATGAGGCCAGCGGCGGCAGGCTAAGATGGCCGGGGAGTCGATGTCAGTCAGCGCGAAGCAACAGCAACAGCAGCGGCAGTGGATGGCGAGGCCTCCTCCTGGGCCGGCGTTGCGGTTCTGCTTTCTCTTCCGGGCCGGGGCCGAAAAGGGAGCGGAGCCGGGGCTACATAGATCCGGGTGACTGTCACATGATCATCTGCTTTGTCATCAAGACGTCTTGCTTCCAACCTCGCGAGAAGAAGCAAGAAGTCGTTGAGAGCAGACGAACATGGAGGCCAGTGTTTGGTATCATCGGCAGCTCGAGTGACTTGCTGTCGGGCAGAGCTTCGGGTGGGTGAAGCTGCATGGACGGGACTCCGGTGTATCGCTACCTGACAACCCAGCGTTGGTGCAGGCGTTGTCATTGAAACGAGAAGTACTAGCTGATACCAACCCCCCCCCCCCCCCCCCCACCCCCTGCATAGTTAGCGACTATCAGCCTGCGCACCTTATATCCTTGACGGCCAGGCTGCACGCCTGCATATACGTAACGCACGAACACACACACACACACACACACACCAACCGACCAAGAAATATGCCTAATGGAGTTAACCCAGCCATCCCACTCTTGACTTCAGACTCTTACCTTCAGAGAGTGTGAAATGACGGGGAATGAAAAGCAAAACGAAACCCAAAAGGAGAAGAGTAGAAGAAGGGACGGGTGAGAACCAAACTGCATCACTTTCCAAGGTGTATATAAGCATCCTTTGTATACCCGGTACTCTGGTTTATACATAGACGTGCGGAGCATACTCGACTCCGGCTATCTATATATATATGCTCATACACATGCAGCACGTCACCACGCGGGATGGCTTTGCTGTCGCCTCGGCCAGCTGCAGCAGACATTTGCATATGTATATACTTCCAGTTAAAGCAAAGGCTCGTTCGGCAATCCTTGGTGCAATCCCTGGTGCAATCCCTGGTGCCATTGTGTATTTTATTTAGGTTCCCATGCATTTCCATCACTGGACGGGAACCACGTTGCGTTTTTGACAGGGGGTAGGGGAGGACATTGCCGACGTCTTGTCACCTTGTGCAGCCTCTCGCTAGTCCTGGTTGGCTCGTCGGCTACTGGAAATACGAACGGTTATTGACTCCCCTGTATGCCTTAAAAACCTCAACTCTTAGCCTGAGAGTTCATCCCCCCCATGACATGTGCCTGGGGTTCTGTGTTCAGACGGCGGCAGCGCTGGCTGGGGTGCGGATGCTAGCTCGAAAGTATGACTTAATCAAGTGCTGGTTTTTTTCGACTTTGTGCCTAAGGGTTCCTGGAAAAGCTGTCTTCAGGGAAGCAAGGCCACACATTGTTTCCATGCAACAGTGCTCATTCGAATCGCCGGCAGATTTATTTGGCATTTCTGACCATTTCCGCACTTATTCCCCCTCAAAAACAGGGTTCAAGACGAAACGTTTCTCGGGAAGCCATTTAGTCCAGTAATGCCATGTTCGTGCGTTCGTTGTTTTATACCTGCATCTGACCGCCTCTCTCGCCGGTGTGGTGCATTTTGACATGCCTAACACCGCACAAGGATCAATATTTCTATGTCGGCGGACCAGAACTGTCCATTGTCTTGTTCGAGCAAATATGACCAGGCGGGAAAAATGCTTTTTAGAGGGTATATTCTTGCCGGCATGGGGGATGCAAATCATATGCCGTTTCCCTGTCCTATGTGACATAGCCATCCGGCCTGTTTATTGTAACCCAGATGGTTTTTGTACCACAGGTGGTTTGTTCTCTTGAAGAATGACTTCTGAACCTTTTAATGAGGGATTTCCGGCGACTTTTTTTGTTAGTCTTCGCACATGAAGACACGATCGGACGCAGCGTTCGAATCGAGGATTTGCTCGGCCAAATATACCCGCTCTCTGGCAAAGGGCTTGCACAGTCTAGCTATATATGCCATGCTTTGCATAATCTGCTATTTTCAATGTGTGACGAGGTGCGGAGAACGGATGTTCGCTTGATATCAGATGCTGAAGGTGTGGTTACGCAAAGCGGTGTTCCACCCGTAAGCAGCGGCTCCGTTCACAATGAAGAACCGGCGGACACACGTCAACTGTCAAAGGTCGCAGAGATATTTCTAGACATGGGGAACAGTATGGACCAATCTGAATTGCCATGCCATCTTGGACAAGCCCGAGCATCCCGGGGTGGGTATCTAATGGTTGACATTCTTCCCCTTTTCTCGAGTCCAAGGGTGTGAATTCACTATGGCACTGTGCCAAAAAAAAAAAAAAAAAAAAAAAAAGACACAGATAGATGGACATAGAAGAGTGGGGGGGGGGGGGGGGGTGGCAATCTACACCTCAATCCCCCTTCTCTTTCCCTTTCCCTCCTTGCCATGTCTCAGCCGAAATCTGTCGTCTCAGGATCTAGCGTTCTTGACGCATCAGGTTTGCTATTACATTGGCTTCCGGCGGTCTACCCCAGAACCTCCCAAGAAGAGTGGCCTAAACACCTGGCGGCGAACAACTTGCGAGGTGGCCTGCTGTGTACTGGGTACGACAGATCTAAGTACCGTGGGATGTATAACCCTATGCGATAAATCGAGCCAACCACAGCCAAAACAAGACTCCGCCTACTCCGGCCCATGTAAGCTAACACCTGCGGGAGGCACATGGTGCGGCTAAGTTGTCTTGTATTCTCTCCGCCTTGTGATCGGAGTTGGAAAGTGACCAGGCTACTCCGTACACATCAGCCAGGGAGACGAGTAACGAGTGTCTAAGCGAACGAGCGATCAAAAGGAAGCTGATCTTGCAGTATCCACCACATAGAGCGCATTGGGAGGTTCCGTCTCGAGTACTATACGGAGATGTAAGAGTTTTGCTAGCGAGAAAGTCGAAGAGAAAAAGGATCTCTTACTAAAATAAATAATATGTAAGTCCGGACATCTCTCAAATTTCTCCCGCTTGGGGGACGTGGGTGGCTGATATCAAAAAATAGCATCACCCGCTCCCTTGGAAAGTCAGCGCTTGATTGATCGATGCTACCGATCCATGTCCACGGATGGGATCCCCTACCCTTGCATGCACGATTACTTATCGCCTACGCATCGTGATTTCTCGTTTGACGTGAGATACAAGGCCAGTCCCCTTTTATTCATCCTCTCCCTTTTGGACCGCCGGCCTTCGTTTAATTAATTACTTTTTTGTTCATTTTTGTCTTCCTCCTCTTCCTCCTTTTTTTTTTCCCCTCTCTTTCTTTTCTTCTTTTCTTTTCCCTCTTCTTCTTCCCTTGTTGCTTTTCTTTTGCGGCCCAAGAATCCAAGCTGGATGCGCCCCTTTTGGTCCCATGTCCACTTTCGAGGCAGCTAGAAAGAGGCGATGCCTATCTGGGTTTAGCGCCAGCCCTGTCGCCAGCATGGCTTTGAACTTCCCTTGGGATCTGATATCAAGCCCGCAGGAGCTTTGCAAGCAAGACCCGCGTCTCTCGCGGAAAATACGAACATAGGCGTGCGTCGAGTTGGGCGTGCACTATGTTTTCAACCCTTTCTTTGACGAAGCCACATTCCTTTACTCTCGACGCCGTCTAGGCGTGCGGTGGGGAACTGGCGCATACTACCTATATCTCGCAACCACAGACGCCGCCTTTCGGTCGTGCCTTGAACTCCCAGATTTGATACACCGAAATCGAAACAGAGACGCATAAAAGCCGCAAGTCTCAGTCGCCCAATGACTAAGGGCATGGTGACTGACCCCTCTCAAGATACCCGACGGCTATTGGTTGATTACCCGTGTATCTGGCCCTGTTGTGTTTGCTTTTCGACGCACTGTTGGACCTGTTCCTGGACCATTTGGATTGCGATTATGCCCAAGGTCCCGAATACCTTTCTTTGAGGTATTCTTGATAACGTCACAAGGCTTACTGCGAGTGGGTTTGCCTCTTGACTTTTTTCTTTTTTCTATTTCTTTTTCTTTTTTCCTACCCGGAAAATGGTCCCATACCAATCATCTGTCAAGATGGGGTGATTTTTTATTTACGCCATGATATATGGTTCCAAATTCAGCTCTTTTTATCTCTATTCATGGCAACAATCTTCCATCCCCTCCCGGCTCACCAGGGCTCAGCCGTGTCAGCGGGATGGACTACCAGTGCCGCTTAGGCTACCGGCATATGTCTAGCTACTACATGCTCACCCTGGGCGCCTGTCTACCGGAGATTATATCAAATTCACCGTGACAACGATGACTTAGAATTTCCGAGGTTGTCATCTACACTAGCTCTAGATCAAGAGACTACCGCGCCTCTGATATATCCATACTTGCAATCGGCCGTTTCATCGCCTGTAGGCAGTTGGATGATATCCCGTGGGCCATTCATGGCTGCATTAAACCCCCTTCGCCGACCGTTCCGGCAACCAGTAGTCATTGAATTTCTTTTTCTCCAGACGTTTGCGTAGGCCTCTAGGCCGACCAATATGCCATCCCTCTTCTTCTGTGGCTTCTCCCACTGGTTCGACTTGCTTTTACCATGGCAGAAATGCCCCCGCCGTTGGCAAATTTGTAGAAATTCTACTGGAACCGGGAATACGGCTCAGGATCCATCCCACCGTTTCAGTGGCTTATTTCTTGTCTTTCGCTTGGGCTGCATGTTTTACGTGATGGAGTTGGAAGAAAGGAACAGGGCTTTCCCCAAAGCTAGCTGCGGCGTACACTAGATCAGTACGGTGCATTAGAACTTGGAACAAGGCCTCCTTTACATGACTCTTCTACCATGTATTCTCATACTTGTCGGGACTACAAGTAAATAGATAAAGTCAACGATTCTTTCCATACTCCGTCCCTTTGCATAATATCAAGGAGTGGTATATGGCTCAGAGCAATGATACTTCGCATCTTGTCAAAATGAACTTCTCCAGCCAGTCAGCCTTGGATTTCGTTCTAATCTCCCAGGAGTATAGCCCTCACGCCCCTGGAAGATGGCCTTCTGCATCCATTCCCACTACCCCAAATGCCGTTGGAAGTCAATCATGGATGCAGTTCAGCTGGGCCCAAGTTGCCTTTACCCTTATAGTTATCTGGCCCCTTATTGTGGCGATCCTACGACACTCGAGAGAGCGGCAAAGGATGAAACGCTTCAACTTCCCTACGAGAGATTCATTTGCCAAAATGACTGTCCGCGATGCTTGGGCTATCCAACTTGATCTTATGGACACAGAGACCTCCTTTTTCTTCATGCTTGCACTTAAGTTTGCCATTTTCTCGGTATGATAAGCAACAATTTACCCGGGGGTTTTTTGACGTTCATGCATAATCCTAGCATCATATGTGCTAATTTATATATATACGTATAGGTGAACGGTATACCTTCCATTTCCAGTTTGCTGGTCAGGACGAATAAGCTCCCTTCGGAGCGTGTTCACCTTCGATATTCCATGACCTCTGTCATGATAGCCGAATTTCTCGCCTTTCCACCTGACGATGAAAGGGCGTTACAGGCTATTTCTCGAATGAATAATATCCACCAAACATACCAGAGAGCCGGTCAAATTTCAAACGATGATCTGCTATACACTCTCGGGCTTTTTGCCTATCTCCCTGTCCGGTGGGTTGGTAAATATGACTGGCGTGAACTTACAGACATGGAGAAGTGTGCCTTGGGAACCTTTTGGAAAGATATCGGTGACTGTATGGAAATCGACTATTCTCAGCTCCCGTCTTCTAAGACTGGCTGGAAAGATGGTCTCCACTGGCTTGAGGA